TCAGCAAGTCCCCCGAAGAAACAGGGTCTCTCCTGTCCTCCTACCGGGGCGAGGTCTTTACCCGAGCAGAAGTTGATTCGGTTGCTGCTGATGCTTGTCTGGATAAACGCGCCCCTGCTTTCCCCGACCTCGCTCGTCTACCTCCTCCTGCGCTACGGTCTATTTCAAAGGCCTTGGAGAGGGCCCGACGCAGCGCTCCAGGTCCTGATGACATCCCGTGCGCAGGGTGGACCGCCACCCCCATGGCATTGCAGTTTTGCATAAGGCCCTCACTGGGCAGCGTCTACTGGGGCCTCGCCATGACATTCGCGGTGCATTCATCCCGTAGGGGCAGGAAGAGGGGGACCTAGATGGGCAGGTGGTTCGGGATGCATCGTCGACTCGCCCGCTCGGTCTTAAACGCACGTCGAACAAAGTCCGTACCTTCGTTGTGTGCTCTGGGCTCGGTCGGGCCCTCGGGAAGTTCGCCCACCCCGTCCAGAGGGGCTTCGTCTCGAGACGGAACTTCGGGGTCAACGTTCTCGAGTTGGACACGCAGGCCAGACTCGCGTCCGTGGGGCCATCTCTTGTTCGAAGGCTGCCTGCTCTGGTGGCGTGCGACGATGGTCAGGCCTTCCCATTGGTGCCATTGATATCTCATGCGTGGTTACTTCAAGTTCTTGGCCGACTTCCTCTGCCCACCCCGCTCCAATTCTTTCTGCGCGTGCTGTATGAGCACATTCCCTGCTTCGGAGTGGCTGGCCCGACATCTTCCTTTCTTTACATTATCGGGAGTGGTGTATTGCGGGGGTGCCCAGCCTCTGGTACTCTTTATGCGCTTGCCTCCCACCCCTTCTTGGATCATCTTTATCAGTTGGTGGATCTGGCATCGAATTATGCAAGTATTGCGAGGGCTTGTGCTGCTGATGTCGGCGGGGTCTTTGATGAGCTGAAATGCCTGTTAGCATTCAAGGCCGCCTTCGACATGGGTGCTATTTTTGGCGGGCTTGCAATTGAACATGTAGAAGTGCGCGGTATTTCCTCTGGCGGGCGAATTCACGCCGCAACTGCAGCAGACGTATCATGAGTGGTTGGTGGAGCATGTTCCTGAATGGTGTGGGTTCCGCATTGAATCGGTGGCTTCGCGTCTTGGACTGGTGATGGGCCCTAGTGCTGGGGATCTCTCTCAGCTGGCGAGCCTCTCTTCTGAAGTGGTCGCGTAGGACAAGTCAGACTGCAGCTGCTAATTGCCCTTCTGCCATCTCGACATATATTTACAGGGAGCGTTGTCTCTCGGTTCTGTCCTACGTTGCCTAAGTGTTGCCGCTGCCCATGTCTCCCGAGTGTTTCTCGTCCCCCGCGCTGCGCTGTGAGCGTGCCATGGCCTCTTCGTTGTTCAGTGTCCCATTTAGCTGCATCTCTCGAGCGGGTTGGTTCGAGCTCCCCGATTGGGGTGGCCCCGGCCATGGGTCTGTTCAGGCACTCTGTATGAGCTCGCTGATGCGAGCTGCGCTTGTCACCTTTCATGAATGGAGGGTTCTGGTGGGTCGTCTCGAGGCCGCCAACATCCACTTGTCTCTGGCTGAGATCGCTCGCGGAGTTTTGGGCCCGAAAGTTTGGGCCGTGACCCCTCTGGCGGTCAATCTCTCGATCGCTGCCGCCGGATTCCAGGATGGCCGAAAGCTGGCGAGCGGTGGTGCTGCTGCTCTGTTTCTCGCTCCCTCCTCCGCCCTGCCGCCGCTGCCGTGGCTGCCGCTCTTCCTCGTCCCCGTGTGAAAATTCAGGGCCCCGCGAGTGCTGCCATCCGCGCCTCCCTGTACCCACCCAGTCTAAGCAAGCAGTTCCAGGCGCGTTTGAGGACCCTGTGGCCCGAGTTGTCGGTCAATGTTTGCTCGCGCAGACTGGGTGGCGTACCGTGGGCTGATGGAGTCAGCCCCGTTCCATGTCTCGCAAGGCGCATGGGAGTGCCTGGTGGTCGCCTGGGCCACCAGCGAACGAATGCACAATCCCCACGAGCCTCGATGCAGATGCATGTTTGGCTGTGGTAGACAAGACTCCTTTCATAATTTGCCTGAATGCTTTCGATTCCGTCTCCCATGGGCTCGTGTTGTTGGTTGCGGCCCCCCCTCTTGTCCCATCGCTTGCTTCGGTTACTTTGCCGATCCCCCTCGTGTCAACGTTCTCGACGTCCCTGCTGCGGCCTTCCTGCTGCACGCTCTCGCTCGCCCTCCCTTTAGATCTACGGGCGCTTTGGGCGAGCTCCGCGTGCTCCAACTCGCGCCGCGGGCACGGGCCGCGCTCCGCCGCGGTCGTAGCGGCCGTCGGGGGCAGGCGGCATGAAGGCAGCGTGGCTCGCCAGTTACGTGCGAGGGCCAGTATGAACTCAAGATTCGACAGCGATGTTGTAATAAACCCCCCTCCAATCTTCCTCCGTGTAGGTTCCTACAAGGGTCTAGTTTCATTCCCGGAAGTGCCCTGTTGGAAGACAGCCGTCTGAGAATTCTGAACCGTTTCTGGACACCAGTCCTGGGTTTGCACCGCCGCGAATCTACATGAGTACTACGTGCTGACAATCCTGCGTCGCGCCGGAACACCAGTCCTGGGATGTTAGCATTGCGAGCCAACGTAGCTGTTGCGTCCTGGCTTCCAAATCGTGCCCAAACACCGCTCTTGGCATTTTAACCATTCGAACTCCTGGGGCGGTTGCACACTTTTAAGACGTATGTGTGCGGCGCGAAGGCGACATCCACAGTTTGATAAGGCGCCGCCCTCCTCGGTTGAGCTGTCGCACACTTCGACAATAATGCGCGCTGGGCCAAGGCGAGAGCCACATTTCGAACGAAAACCGCCCTCCATCCTTGAAACTGACGCAAACTTTAATGCGGCCGTGCGCGTGGCTAAGGTGGTATCCGCATTAAAAGAAACGACCGCCCTCCATCCTTGAACCAGTTGAAAGCTTTTGCGGCGAATGTGCGCGGCGCTAAGACGAGAACTCTATATTTAATCCGAGCCGCCTTTCATCCTTGGAATTGTTGCACAGTTCACGCATCATGATCATACTTTAGGAGGACGTCTGCGGCGAAACGCCCAGCCCGCCCTACCGACACTTCTTGGGGTGCGACAGGGAGGACTTATCCATCAAGAAAATGCGGGACGAGAGATGCGGCACTGGTGGTTGAAGACACCCGAAGGAAGGTCCTTCCCCCAATCCTCAGGTTATTATCCTCTCGCATCCCTCTTGGTCTTGGTTTCTTTGATCGGGTCGCGATTGGACCTGCTCTGGCCTGGTTGGCCCGTGACGGCTGCCGATGCGATTGCGATCCCTGTGCCGACCGCTTGTGAAGATTATCTCGAAGATAACCCTGTGAACCTTAGTGGATATTCGGACATCCCCGTCGCTTCAGATTCCCCAGTGGCTCGTGCCCCTTCGGACGGTCGTGGCGCTGTGTCCCGCACAGCCAGAAGAGTAGCACAGCCGCGTCCAGGGACCCCAACCAGCTTCCAAACAGCTGGGCCGCACCGTGCCAGACCACGCGCGCAGGCGCCGACGACGCAACCGACGAGAACAGGCAAGACGCCAATAGGGACGTCATCGCACGCACCCTCGTCTGGCCCTGGACAGCGTGCGTGACGAAGCACACTGAGCGACAGCAAACCGCGCATTGGCTGTCGAGCTCTGCGCCCAGGCCGATGAGGATACGAACTTGTCCATGTCCACTGTGGGTCGCACGGGCCGCGTTGTGATGGTGTCGGCGCTCACCAAGGCTGTCATGAGCTCAGGTGCCGGCTATGCAGCTGCAGTGCACAAGCGCTTCAGTGAACCCGCTCCGGCTCACTGATAGGAGCACGCTGCAGCATGCGTTACGCGTGTGGCGTTCCGAGCACGAAATGCTAAAACCCGTCGTCTCCCAGTCGTCAAAGTTGATTATGGTGTAGACTGGGATGCTGGTGGCTCAAGACATCCAGGGAAAGGTCCTTCCCACCTCCTCAGAACAAAAACATGCAGGAGCAGGGGGAGGCGTATTCGGAGGAGGAGGAGGGGGATTATGATGATGATGATTGTGATGAAGCTGAGGATGATGATGATGATGGTTTGCTGATGATGCTGTTGATGATGATGATGATGATGATGATGATGATGATGATGATGATGATGATGATGATGATGATGATGATGAGGGGGTGATGATAGGGATGATGATGGTGATGAAGCTGACCATGATGATGGTGACGATGGTCGTGGTGGTGATGCGGATGATGCTGATGCTGCTGACGATGATGCTGATGACGACGATTCTGATGCTGATGATGGTGGTGGTGGCGATGCTGTTGGCAATGATGATGATATTGTTCATGATGATGATGATGATGATGATGATGATGATGATGATGATGATGATGATGATTGTGACGATGACGATGACGCTGACGATGCTGATGGTGATGCTGATGATGCTGATGATGGTGCTGCTGATTGAGATGCTGATGATGCTGGTGGTGATGATTCTGATGCTGTTGATGATGATGGGGCTGATGATGATGCTGATGATGATGCTGATGATGATGATGATGATGATGATGATGATGATGATGATGATGGTGATGATGATGATGATGATGATGATCATGATGAGGATCATGATGTTGATGATGGTCATGATGATGATACTGCTGCTGCTGATGATGCTGATGATGGTGACGATGTTCATGATGCTGCTGATGAGGATGCTAATGCTGTCGATGATGATGATGGGGAGGAGGAGGAGGAGGAGGAGGAGGAGGAGGAGGAGGAGGAGGAACAGGAGGAGAAGGAGGAGTAGGAGGAGGACGAAGACGTGCAGGAGGAGGGGGAGGAGAGGGAGGGAGGGGAGGGGCAGGAATGGGGGAGGGATAAGGGGAGAGGACGAGAGAAGAAAGGGGAGGAGGGCCAAAACGCCCCGAGGAGGGGCGGTGCGCGCGCCAACGCGCGCCCCGTGCGTCGCGGCGCGGCCGCCCCCCGCCCCCCCCCCCCCCTGCTCGAGGGGCAGGCCGCGGCGGCGGAGGGCCCGCCCCCCATGGGCGTCGCCACCAAGGCGGCCCGCCCTGCCTCCTCCCCCTCCTGCTTCTCCTGCTCCTCGTCCCCCTGCTGCTGCTCCTCCTCCTCGTCCTCCTCCTCCTCCTCCTGCTGCTCCTGCTGCTCCTGCTGCTGCTCCTCCTCCTCCTCCTCCTCCTCCTCCTCTTTCTCCTCCTGCTCTTCCTCCTGCTCGTCCTCCTCCTCCTCCTCCTTTTCCTCCCTCCTCTCCTCCTCGTCCTTCTTCTCTTCCTCCTGCTCCTCCTGCTCCTCCTGCTCCTCCTGCTCCTCCTCATGCTCTTCCTCCTCCTCCTGCTTCTCCTGCTCCTCCCTGCTCCTCCTCCTCCTCCTGCTCCTCCTTCTCCTGCTCCTCCTCCTGCTTCTCCACCTGCTCCTTCTCCTCCTCCTCCTCCTCCTCCTCCTTTTTTTTCTTCCTTGTCTTTCTCTCGCGTCGAGCCGGTGGCTTTCGGTACTCAGGTCGGGGTGGTCTTCCGTTGTTGCGTGTAGCATGGCCCTCGGTCAGAGTCGCATTCCCCAGTCGCCTGTGGAGGCATGCACCGTATTAATGTGGCTGGCAAAGTTGCACTGGGGGCTTCGGTGCCAAATGCTGCGTTGTTCAGCTTCGTCGTGTGTGTGTGTGTGTGTTTGTTTGTTTGTTTGTTTGTTTGTTTGTTTGTTTGTTTGTTTGTGTGTGTGTGTGATCGTGTGTGCGCGTGCGTGCGTGCGTGCGTGCGTGCGTGCGTGCGTGTGTGTGTGTCTTTTTTGTATGTGTATGTGTATGTGCTGTGTGTGTGTGTGTGTTTGCGTTTGTGTTTGTGTTTGTGTTTGTGCCTGTGTTTGTGTCTGTGTGTGTGTCTATTTGTGTCGTGTGTGTGTTGTGTATGTGCCTCTGCGGGTTTTCTGGTTTCACAAAACAGACCCATCCACTCCTGCTTCTCATCCCTCCTCTCGTCTTTTACCCCGCCTTCTTGCTCTTGGCCCCTTGCCTCCTCGACGGCCCGCCGCCTTCCCCCGCCGCCCCTTTTGTCGGGGTCCGCCGGGCGTCAACGTCGTGGCTTTCTTTGGGGGGCGTTTTTTGTCGGCTCCCAGCGGTCTTCGGGCGTTTTCGTCGGTCCGTGGCGGTTTTCCAGCTTTGGGGTGCCTTTCAGCGTCTGCGCCGCGCCGAGGGCCTTCCTCTGGTGCCCAGATCGCCCCGAAAGACTGCCAGAGCGCCGAGATGTGAGCCGAAAGCCAGGGGGCAACGTTGTGGGATCCTGATCTGGGATGGCTGCTGCCCCTCTGGCCGCGCCCTGCAGCACCCTCAAGAGACCCTGCATGTGGCCAATACCCAAACTGCTGCAACGCATGCACGCCCAGTCCCTGGAGGAGGGGGAGGAGGAGGATGAGGAGGAGGAGGAGGAAGAGGAAGAGGAAGAGGAGGAAGAGGAGGAGGAGGAGGAGGAGGAGGAGGAGGAGGAGGATGAGCAGGAGGATGAGCAGGAGGAAGAGGAGGAGGAGGAGGAGGAGGAGGAGGAGGAACAGGAGGAGGAGCAGGAGTAAGAAGAGGAGGAGGAGGAGGAGGAGGAGGAGGAGGAGGAGGAGGAGGAGGAGGAGGAGGAGGGGAAAGCGTTGCCCGACTCGGGGGCGTGGACCCCCTGCACGGCCCTCGACATCGGCGGGGGTCCCGCAGCGGGCAACTGCCAGGCGAGGCGCCCAGCCGCACCACGCCGGCGCAAGGAAGTGGCCGCGGCACCCGCGCCACAGCCTGCACTAAGGATTGCGACGTGTGTCACGAGTGGAAATGCACGACTGGCGAGGCTACGGGCCCAGATGGGCCTCGGCTTCTGAATGCGCAAGAGCGCAGAGGCATACTGGAGACTCGCCTACGCCGCGCGCAGAGGCATCATCATGGCCATGGACTTGGCCACAATCTTCCTTGGCGGACAGCCCTTCTCATCAGAGCCGGCATCGAGGGCGACACGTGTAATTACACCAACATCGTTGACGCGTGCACCAACACCAACACCCAGACAGTCACCTTTGAGCTCAACCCGGGGGCTGCCGTGTTCGCCCCCGCTCGCCCGCTCGGCTGCTGGCACCCAGAAGGCTGGAATGCAGGCTGCCCCAACGAAGCACGAGACCAGCTCCACCCTCGAGGGCGGCGACACCGACGACGGCGCCTACACCTGCTGGCTGCCACAGGTGTTGCCCGTGCCAAGGGCTCTGACGTCTTCCCCAGACCAGGAGGGCGAGGTTAACTAACGACTGCCGCCGACCTGGCGCCGACGGCCCCCAGAGGCAGAGGACACCAACTGGACGGCTACCTGGACGCCGCCGCCGCCGAGGCCGAGCGCGCAGAGGCCGATGCCGAGCACCTGGCGGGGGCCGCGCGACAGCCGCAGCCCGCGCGCCGCGCCGAGGACCCGCGCGGCGCTGAGGCCGAATGCCGGCGGGGGCCGGACGCAGCGCCGAGGACGCCGAGGCCGAGGGCAGCGCGGAGGCCGGCCGCCCCGCCGATCGCCGCACGAAAGCCGGCCACATTGCCGAGGCCGAGGGATGCGCTGCCCGCGGCCGGCCTGCGTCACTGCCGACGGCTGCGGCTGGGCGCTTGGCTGCGGCCGAGGCCGAACGCTGGGCTGAGGCCGAGCGCCAGGCGGAGGCCCACTGCTCCGCCCAGGCCGAGCCCTGCCCCGAGGCCGAGGCCGGGCGCCTGGCGGCGGCCTTGCGCTGAGCGGCGGCCCGCCCCCCCGCCGAGGCAGGGCGCCTCGCCGCGGCCGGGGCCCAGCGCTGCGCGGAGGCGCGCCCTCTGCCGAGGCCGAGGGCTGCGTGGCGGCCGAGCGCCAGGCAGAGGCTCTCAGCCACGCTGCGGCCGAGCACTGCGCCGGTGGCCCCGCGCGGACGCGCCCCAGTCCGGGACCACCCCCAAGGCAGCGGCGAGCGCGCATTCCCCGAGGAAGCCATGGTCCTCAACAGGCGTGCCCAGGAGCGCGCGGCCCGCAAGGCTGCCGCGGCTGCAGAGGCCGCCGCCGCCCCGCAAGCAGCTGGCGCTTGCCTTGGCAGGTCTACAGCAGCTCGCCATGCGCCGGGGGGTGGACAGACCTCCTACCCTGACACGTCGATTAAAGAAGGTTCGCGAGAAGGCGTCGCGGCCGTCATTTTTGCGGGTCCAGGTCCGTCGGTTTCGGTCCCAGGCCGTTTTCACTATATAAGGGGAGGTCTACTAAAGGGAGGCTTGTCCACCGCCGAGACAGCCTGCGAGCGGCCGCCCATGCGGAGGCGGTAGAGGAAGGCCTCCACTGGGGCCGCTGCGGGGCGGGCTCGCATCCTCTTCACCAGGCTGCTGCCGCAGCTCTGGGTACATGCCACCTTCCCCCAAGGCTATCGCGCCGACCGGCGACATCCTGGCCTGCCACTGCCAGGTGCTGATCTGCGCCGCTCTCCAGGCGAGGTCGTAGCTGCTTCTCACCCAGTGGTCGACCAGCTGCTGCTGCAGCTGTGCGAGGGCGCAGACCGCCCGCCAGAATGCTGCGCATCCGCCTGTCTATCCAGTCGGATGCTCTAGCGTTTTGCTCTCCTCGTCCTTCGCCTCCCCTCTCCTGTGGCAAGGGATCTCACAGAATGGCGGAGTGTGGAGGACCAGTTCGTGACCGCGACATGAGATCATTCGGGCTACGGCTCCGCTCGTCCCGCCCGAATGGGCGCGGTTCTACCCGCAGTAGAGCCGGATGGACGCTCGCTCGCTCGCTCGCTCGCTCCCCTCTCCTGTGGCTTGGGCTGGCGGGTCGGGCCCGACCCAGGGGCGGCCGAGCCTGCGGCCAGAAAGGCCACCGCGGGCCCCGCCCGCCTCGCGCAGTGTACCCTTTGGGCCCGATGCCTTTCAGGAGGGAACTACACACACAGACACAATTCATCGTCCACTCCCGGGAAAATATGGGAAACTATGGGAAGTGGGGGGGTAGACAAGAACCCAGAAAGTACAGGAAAATATATGCGAATTCCTGTCATTTGTGTCTATTTTTTGTGTGTGTCCCTGGGCCCCTTCAGCCTTCGCGTGCCCGTTCCCCCCCTCCCGTAGGTCTTTCGCGCCTTCGTCCCCCAGATCGTCGTTGGCAACAGAGAGCGGGTGCCTACGCTAAGCCAGCAACGGCAAGCAACACCGAAACGGGAGGGAGGCCGGGGGTGAACCGCCAAGCCCCGGGGCCCCTGGCGGGCCCTGGCAGCGCGCGGCCGCCTGGAGCCTGTCTCACCGCGCGCGTCCTGCGCAAGGAGGAGGTGGTGGTTACGCTAGGTGGTGTGAAAGCCTCTGCCTGACATGCCGTATTGTTACCCACGTCGCATGCGGCATTTCACCGCTGCTGCAAACCAGTGTCGCACAATTGCCTGCCGCCGCACCTGCCGTCACCCTCCCCCCTCCCCGTCCCCGCTCATCATCAACTTCGGTCTCCCTCCCCCGGGCTCTGCCGTCTCCGCGGCCGTCCCCCGGGGGCCCCCCCCTCTTTCCTCCTTCGCTCACCCGCGCCCCTGTCTGATAGGGATCGGGGCTCGGGGGCGGGGTAGGCAGGGGGGAGCATTTTCGACGAGCTCTCAACCAGAATCGTCGGCCACACCCTGCAGCGCGACCCGCCTAGCGCATGACCCAACAGGAGACTCATTCGCATTCCCACTGCGCACTCAGTCTTGCCGGAACAATCCCTTCCCCCATCTTCCTCGCCTTCGTCACGACCACTCCAATCGTTCACCCGCGTCGTTGTCACAGGGATCGGGACTCGGGGGTGGGCCGGCTTTATGAGAGGGTGGGATGATCCGCGACGAGCCTAGAACCACGGGTGCATCCGCGCCGGTGCGACCTGGCCATTCCCACTTTGAGGGCTGCAACGCGCCACCAGCCCCAGTCAATCGTTGCAACGCCATGCCCCAGCGCAGTGCGCCGGCCACCCGGGGATAGCCTCGGACTGGCGTCTGCTCCCCTGTTTGTGAGCCCCCCACTCCCCGCGGCCCCCTGGCCCCCCTTGCCGCGGCGCAGAGGCCGTGCTGGCCGTGCTCATCAGCATCCTGGCCTACAACCTGTACATCCGGCCGTACCTGGACTGGCAGTGACCGCTCCTGCTGCTCGCCCCCCGCCCCCCCCTCCTCCAGACATGCTCGGGGTCATGGCGACGTCACTGGGCCGCGGGGCCGCAGGAGACGATTCGGGATGCAACACTTGGCGCTGGGGGAGGGGCCAGGACTTCGGGGGACCACGGACAAACTCAGGACATCAGATGTCTGAAGGCGCGCGTTCTGTGGACGCACCCCCCCTGAATACTTGCAAGGGGGGGGTGCTCGAACCCGGGGGGGGGCTCCCCGTCGAGGGGAGGGGAGGGGGTTCGCGCCGGCCCCCTCCCACCCCCCCTGCGTTGCAGGGGAGGGCGGCTTCGACCCCCCCCCTCCCTCCTGAAGGGTTTCGAACCGGGAGGGCGACCCTTCCCCCCCCCTCCTCTCGGGAATCGCAGGGGGAGGGGTCGAACTGGCTCCGCCCAGCCTTCGCCAATGGCAAAGGACGGCGAAGGTGACGACGAAGGTGACGACGCCGACGACGGCGACGACACGACGACGACGAAGGTGACGACGCCGATGACGACGACGACGACAACGACGACGGTGATGATGACCACGACGATGCCGACGACGCCGACGACGAAGACGACGACACGACGACGACAGTGACGATGACGACGCCGACGACGAAGACGACGACGAAGACGACGATGGCGACGGCGACGTCGACGACGCCGACGACGCCGACGACGATGGCGACGGCGACGGCGACGGAGTACGAGCCGATGGTCTTCAGCTGCTACGGCCGCTTCGAAAAACAGAGAGGTTAGGGTAGGGTATGGTAGAGTAAGTAGGAAAGAACATATGATATTAGTGTAGCGTAGTGTAGAGTAGAGTAGAGTGGGAATGTAATCGAGTAGAGTAGGAGTGGAGTAGAGTAGGAATAGGAGTAGGGGCAGTATTATATAATGGATTAGGATTAGAGAAGAGTAGGGTCGGTGGTAGAGTGAAGTCGGGTATCATAGAGTAGAGTAGAGTGGAGTAAGAGTCCACCACAGTCTAATCCAGCCTACTCCTGTCTGGTCTACTTCAGTCCACTTCAGTCCACTGCATGTCGGCCTTATAATCTATTTGGAATCTGCGCTGGCTGATTCTGTTGTACGAATTGTAATGCCTATGTTGCGTGTAAAGCTGTCTGCTGTTCGTCGTCGTTGTCGTCGTCGCTGTCGTCCTTGCGTGGGGTGCCCGGTTCGACCCCCCCCCCTTGCAATTCAGCCCCCCCCCCCCCTGGTTCGACGCCCCCCCTTGCAATTCAGGTTAGGGGGCGGGGGGGGGCGGTTCGAACCCCCTCTCACCTTGCACAGGGCCCCCCCTCCGTTTCGAACACCCCCCTTCCCTGGTCAGGTTCGAACCCCCTGTCACCTTGCACAGGGCCCCCCCTTGCGCGAGGTCCCCCCCACCCTGGTCAAGGAGGCCAACGTCCACGAAACGCATCCTCTGGGGTGTCTGGGCTCCCTCCTCCGAGAAGAAAGGAGAGAAGTAGGAGTCGAGCTGCGATGTTCTTTTCGCCCCGTCTGGACGCCCTTGAGGCTCTCAGTCGCCACGGCAGGACTCGCCTCGAAAAACTTGTCGGAACACACGCCGGAACGGTTTTGGGAGTCCCCTTCCTCCTCCTCCCTCCTCCCCTCTGCATGCCTCTCCTTCTTCCACTCTTCCTTTGTTCTCCTGGATGTCTTCCTCCTCTTTTCTCCCTCCTCCTCCTCATCATCCTTCTTCTTCCTCCTCCTCCTCATCGTCCTTATCTTTCTCCCTCCTCCTCCTCCTCCTTTCAGCGCTTCCAGCTCAACCAAGGGTGCCTCGAGCTCACCATGCTGAAGAAATTACATTCGGCTCAAGACGCACTCGAGGGAGAAAGAGAGAGATAGAGAGAGAACGAGAGAGAGGGCGAGAGAGAGCGAGAAAGAGAGAGGGAGAGAAACGAGGGAATACAACAAAGAGAAAAAGAGCCCGCCTTGGCGAGGTTCAAGCTCCTCCTCCTCTTCCTCCTCTCTTCCTCACCCTTCTCCTCCTCCTCCATTTCCTGCATTTCTTCCCTTTCCTCCTCCTCCTCCTCCTTCTCCTCCTCCTCCTCTTCCTCCTCCTCCTCCTCCTCCTCCTCCTCCTCCTCCTCCTCCTCCTCCCCCTTCTCCTCCTCTCTTCCTCTCCCTCCCCCGCCCCCTGGCAGCGGGAGGAGCGGCGTCATGGGGCGGGCCGGAGCCTCTCCTGGGAGCCCTCGTCAGCGGCCCGCGGGCGGCATGCGGCAGAAACGGGCGGCGCTGTGCGGCGCGCGTTCTTCCCGCCGCGCTGGCGACAGTCAGGAATGACGACAAGGGGCAGGAGGAGGAGGAGGAGGAGGAGGAGGAGGACGAGGAGGAGGAGGAGAAGGAGGAGGAGGAGGAGGAGGAGGAGGATACAGAGGAGGGAGGAGGAGGAGCGAGGATTCGGAGGGATGAGGAGGAGGAGGGAGGGCCAGTGTAAACCCAAGACTCGTCAACGATGTTGGGATAAACCCTCTCGCCAAGCTCCCTTTTCACAGTCCCCGACAAGGTTTCATTTCCACTCAGGGACGTGCCCCGTTGGGAGACAACCGTTGCAATATCCTGAGCGTGCCAAAGTGTCAGTCTCGGAACTGCAACGCCACGAATCAAATTGGCTGTTGGTTCTTGACGATCTCAAACCGTGCCATAACGTCATTCCTGGGACTTCAACACCGCGAATCAACGTAACTGTTGCGCCCTGAAAATCGTCAATCGTTCCAACACAACTTTCTGGTACGTTAACCATGGGAGCCCGTGACACTCTTGCAGTTTCTCAGAACGCATGTGCGTGGCGCAAAGGCGAGCGCCACATTTTGAAAATGACTCGCCGTCAATCCGTGAAACTCTTGCATCTTTAGAAGACGAGTGTGATCGGCGCTAAGGCGAGTGCCACATTTTGAAGACGGCCCGCCCTCAATTCAAGAAGCTTTTGCAAATGTTTAAGACGAATGCGCGCAGCGCTAAGGCGAGAACAACATTGTGAAAACGACCCGCCCTCCATCCGTGAAGCTCTCGCATAATTTAAGGCAGAAGTGCGCGGCGCTCAGGCGAGAGCCACATCTCGAAAACAGCTTGCCCTCAATCCGTGAAACTCTTGCACAGTTCTGCGACGAGTGTGCGCGGCGCTAAGGCGGGAGCCTCATGGTCTGCCGTCCATCATTGAAATTCTTGCCAATTTGAAAGCTTCAGGGTCTGACATGGTGAGGAAGTCTCAGGCGAAACGCCCCGCCCGCCCTATACCCACCCGTCTCAGGGTGCAACGGGGAGGAGCTATTCATAAGGAACCGGAATGTAGAGAGGAGGAGGAGGAGGAAGAGGAGGAGGAGGAGGATGAGGATGAGGATGATGATGATGATGATGATTCTGATGATGATGCTGATCATGATGATGATGATGCTGATGATGACGATGATGGTGATGATGCTGATGATGCTGATGATGCTGCTGCTGATGATGATGCTGATGCTGATGATCAGGAGGAGGAGGAGGATGAGGAGGAGGAGGAGGAGGAGGAGGAGGACGAGGAGGAGGAGGAGGAGGAGGAGGGGGGAGGAGGAGGAGGGGGGGGGGGGGAAGAGCAGGAGGAGGAGGAGGAGGAGCATGAGGGGCAGGAGGAGGAGGAGGCGTAGGATAAGAAGGAGTGTAGGGGCAAAGGAGGCGAAGGAAGAGGAGTGGAGGCGGGAGGAGGAGCGGTAACGATGAGGCGGACGGGGGAGACGTAGGAGGAGGAGGAGGAGGAGGAGGAGGAGGAGGAGGAGGAGGAGGAGCAGGAGGAGGAGGAGGAGGAGCAGGAGGAGGAGGAGGAGGAGGAGGAGGAGGAGGAGGAGGGGGAGGAGGAGGATGATCAGCGTAACCTAATGTTTATCATTGATGCTGCAATACGCTCTCCCGTTTTGAGTCTTCTCCTCAGTCGCCCTTCCTGGCATTCTTTCGAAGCGCCCCCTCTTGAATGACGAGCGTTCCATGGTCCCGAAAGTCAGGTGGGAACTCTGTTTTGAAGTAAACCGCTCTCCGTATTTCGAGATGGAAGGGATGCGACAAATTGCGGGTAGAAGCTTAAAGGAAGTGGCAGGCGACTGCCCAACTTTGGAAAGGAGCCGCTCTCACTCTGGGCAGCTGTTCCACAGTTCAGACTTGTGGTAAGCTGTGTTGAAGTCTCAGGCGAGAGCTCCATTCTGAACACGTGCTGGCCTCCATTCGAGTATTTCTTGGACGCTTTGAAGACGAATGTACGCTGCTCTTAGGCGACCGTCGCATGTTGGAGTCGACCCGTTTTCCATCCATGCGTTTTCAGCCCCAGGATCGTCTATAGCGGGAAGTCGCGAGGGAAACGCTTGCCCCGGCCCATGGGCACGTCTGGTGGTGCGAGAGGGAGGAGCTGTTCCAGGGAGAGAGAGGGAGAGGGGGGATGAGGTCCTCATCCCCCCTCTCATCCTCCTCCTCATCATGAGGAGGAGAGATGAGGTTTGAAAGCGCCCCTCCTCCTCATCATGAGGAGGCGGGGCGCTTTCAGACATGGAGGAGGAACAGACTTTCGGAGGTGGGGGGGGTATCACAGCTCCTCTCACGTCCTGTTCTTGACCGCATGCCAACTGCAGCCATTTCGCGCGTGCGAGCGCGTGTGCGCCGAGGTGATTGTGAGTGGTGCGAGCAGAGGGTGTAGTTTCAATTCTGCTATTTTCAGCGACTCGTTGTCGTCAAAGTACGGGTGAGCATGATAGACACTTTGTGTAAATAGGATCCTGGGTCGAGGGCTCACAGCCTCCTCCGAAAAGGGATGGGTCCCAGGGTTCCACAGCCCCCCCAAGATGGGATAGGAGGGACGACGACGACGACGCATACGCCGACGCAGACGCCGACGCCGACGCCGACGCCGCCGCCGCCGGCGACGACGACGATGACGCATACGACGACGCAGGCACCGTCGCCGACGCCGCCGACGACTCCGACGCCGACGGAAGACGACGACGACGGCGACGACGA